CTAAATTTTGATCCCTGAAATCTTTGGTAATACCAATGTTCACTTTGTCTGGTTTTGTTGCAGCATGCCCCATATATTCTTTAACTATTACTTTCTTATAAACTTTGGTTCTTGGCTAACACCTCCAGGAAAGTGATGAAAAGTGATGGAAGAAAGTTGGTAATATAAAAAAATACGAAGAATATGGCTATAAAGTTGGTTTGACAATTTTGATAAAAAGTTTTTACGTCATATTAAGGTCAAACGTCCAATTGAAAAGTATTTTAAAATTACCATTACACAATATAAAAAAGATCGACATTTTAAGTCACATTCGTGATAATTACGAAATTCAACTATGTTGTGTTCATGTGAAAATTCGTTATATATAGGAAGAGCAAATTAAATATGAAACTTCAAAAAGGTGAGTTCGAATTCATTATAAACAGATTTATTAATTATAAAAATTCGGTCATGCGATTTTGGTTCGTTATATCCAGATTTCGGTATAGCCAGAGTCAACTGTAGATAATATTCGATTTTGTGTCACTTTATTATTATTACTCTATCAATAATTAATGATAGTTCAATTTTTCTCTAATCCCTGATTATTTAAGGGTTATGAAACTTAAAAGACTATCACTAATTTCTAATAATGTAATATTATTACCATAAAGTCTGGAAAGATATCACCCCCGAAAGATAACACCTTCTAAAAATAGAGTATAAAAAAGGCAATAAGGATGTTTTACAGGATAAACAAAAAAATATCCTACAGAAAATTATACACCTCGTCATATTAAATCATCATATACAATATTTCAAAAATGTTTGCAAAAGTTCATGGAAGAAATGAGGCTAATATTTACGGTATAGTAATAAAAAAGTGCTGTAAAGGCTTAAACTCATCTCCAAAACGGTGATAGATAGAGGTACTCATCCCAATCTCCTTCGGACAAATTACATAATTATCAACGTATACAAAAACGATTGGAGTGTGTCTACTTTCAAATGATTTATCAGAAATTCACAAATTTCTTATTTGTAATAGTAATGGATGAATTAAATTCGAATTAGTCATACTCGAATATGCAGCAGGAAATCAAAAAAGAGACCAATTAACAACCCACAAAAAAGTTCACTATTGAAACCATAAATTATTTTTAGTAATTTAAGGATTAGAGTTTCTTTTACACTGTCTTTAATGTAACAAATCGAGCAAAACTTAAAAAACTTAAATGTGTAACGTTTATTTATGCAATATGACAATCGTTAGTTGTTGGTTTTTATTTTTATTTTGCTGCAATTTTTGCATTTATAATTTCGTATTAATATTAGTAATATATCGATAGTAATAGACAATTTTTCGGCAAACCATTGAGGGAAATGGTCCCTCAAATGCCCAAGAAACTAAAATTTTATATAAAGCAATAGAAACTTTACAGCAGAAAGATCTAACCAAATACTTCCATCATGGTAATCTTTGGTAGTACAATGTTCACTTTACGAGTTTTGCCCACTTTCTAAACGTCAAAAAAAAATTGCAAAAGCAAAAAATAATCAAGATTTGGTTTTGATAATAATTCATTAAACTTTGATGTAAATAATGGTGATTCCATTTATTAAACAATTTATGACTCTGAAACAATTAGCTAATTTGAATTATCATCCGACCACAAATTAAATGATGAAACTTGGTATGATAGTGTGATTACAGTCCGGTTTTACCTTCAATGCTATTTCAATCGAAGAATAATTATTATACACAAAGATCACGTGATTTCCAGTTTTGAAAGTGTCTTTTAAGAGAATTGTTGCATTTTTGAATGAATCACAGGATTTCGGGATCTGATAAAAAAATTTGTCCGTGTGGCTTAACAGTAGAAGACCTTTAGACCGCTCGCACTATATATTATTCATTATATTTAATTAATTATATCTTGATCAATAATATATATCATCAGTCGTAAGAAATAGCCACGAAGAAATATAAGAGCGATTTATGCAGTAACAAATAAACCAATTGACTTGCAAAATGATTAATCATATCACCAAGCCGTTTTTAAATCAATATTAATACAACGATAATGATGAAAGATCTACAAATGTCATGATGATGATGATTAATATTAACTACTATTGATTCATATGATCCTTCCTGATCAATTAATTAAAGGAATGTTAATATATATTAAAGCAAATTCTATTTTTGTTTTGAAATTTTTACGAAATTTTTTTGATTTTTATTTTTACACTATTTTAAAATAAGGTTATCGCCGATTTAATCATCAACATACAGATAAACAAAACCAGAAACTTCCGATCAAGGAATCGAACAATTGTTGGTATGTAAAGTATATAGAAAAGGAGTTACGGAATTCTTTGTACAACATTTTAAACACACAATTTTTTATGGAAAACAGTCCACTGCCACAATAATTACCTATATATATATATATATATTATGTATATATAATTTTGAAAAAAAATTTCGTTTTTTTTTTATAATAATAAAAAAAAAAGAAAAATAATAATGGACCCAAGCTCAGATCTTTACAAGTCGTTAGAAGTAGTAGCCAGTGTTTTTGGATGGGTAAGCTTCAATAATCATATATATATATTATTACAGTCCTAGTTATAATATAAATAATATATCAATTTTTTAGACATATTTCATAGCATGGGGACTTACTTTCTATCCTCAATTATTTCTCAATTGGAAACTTAAAAGGTGAGTTAGTTCTTAAAGAAAAAATCTTATTACTAGAAAATTAATCGATATTAATTTTTTTTTTTTTTTTAATAGTGTAAAAGGACTTTCTATCGACTTTATATGGTATAATTTTTATGGATTTTTGTGCTATTTTGTAAGTTTTTTTTCATTTAGAATTTTTTAAAAAATTTTATTAAAAATCCAATTAATTATTTTTCCATGTAAAAAAAAAAAAAAAAAACAAGATATTCAATTTATTTTTTCTATACGTGCCTCAAACCCAAGCTGAATATCGTGAAAGAAATGGCGGAAAAAATAATTTAGTTAGATTTAACGATTTATTGTTTTCATGCCATTCATTAATTGCTTCTACAGTATTACTATTTCAATTATTTTTATACAAGGTAAAAAGAAAAATATTTATTATTTATATTTATTTTTATTTTATGGTTTAATTTTTTCCATTAATATTTTTTTTTTGGTAATTTCCCAATTTCATAGAATAGTGACACTCCAAGACCATCAGTGTCCACATTTGTTGTGATAACTATTGCTACATTTGTAACATTTTTAATGTTTATAGCTGTAAAACTTGCCTTTATTGAATGGATAGATGTATTATATTATCTAAGTTATTTGAAATTGCTTTTTACTTGTATTAAGTATTCTCCTCAAGTAATATTAAACCTTTTTTTTAAATTGGATTTTTTTTATTTTTTAGGAAATAATTGTTTAAATTTTTTTATTTTGGTAAAAAAAAAAAAATAGGTTTATTTTAATTATTCAAGAAAATCAACTCATGGATGGAGTATTTACACAAATATATTGGTAATTGGTTAATAGAATCATTAAAGATTTTTATTTCTAAAATAAAAATAAACTCATTCTTGCCTATCACACTTCATCATTATTTATTATAATTAGGATTTAACTGGTGGTGTATTTTCAACTCTACAAATACTGTTAGATGCCTATATAGACGATAATTGGGCTGGTGTATTAGGTGTAAGTTATATATGTATTCATATAATTAATTGATTGATCAATTAATTCTACAATCGTGCTTGTAATTAACTATAAGAATTAAATATTAATTAAATATAATTAGGATTTTGTTAAATTGTAAGTAAAAAAATATTTAATTTTCTCATTTGAATGTTTTTTAATTCCTCACCTCTAATAATTATCTCTAATAATATTTTAGTGGCCTTGGAGTAATAACAATATTTTTTGATACAATTTTCATTTTACAACATTATATCTTCTATCGTTCAAATGATAAAGGCGATGAAATTGTCAATATTGATGATGATACTATAAAAATTAGCGAAAGGAAAAATTTAGAATTAGATAAAGAATGGGAAAATGATATTTTAATAATAAATAATAATAAAAATAATAATAATAGTGGTGGCAGTATAGTTGATAAAGATGGCGGTGATGGTAAAGTTGGTGATGGTAATGATAAAGTGTAATATTTTGAAATACATGATAGTATTAAGAATGTTTTTCTATAATGTTTTTTTAATTTTTAATAAAAAATAAAAACTTGTATAGTAAAATTATTTCTAGAAAACTTCCTTGATTCCATCTGGCCACTATGTTGAAACGACATGCTTACAATATTGATAACACAATAGTTGCTATATATATATCGTAAGACACGTAATGTGATGATTAATCGTCGTAATTGATAAATAGACAACTTCAAAAAAGTTCCAGATCGTAAATTCAGTTAAAAAAAAATAAAAATTTTTTTCCAATCAACTCAAATAACTAACATACATACACTAAAAAAAATTTCTACCATAAAAAAAAAAGTTTAATATATTCGTGTTTGATATAAATACAAATATGACAATTTTAAAATTAAGAACAGAGTTGGCAGCAACAAATACTTCCACCACATCCTCATCTGCAATCAACACCATCACTAGCACTAATGTTAACACCAAGAAGATACAAGAAAATGAAAAGATAGTAAAGTCAATGAAGGAGACCTCCACAATTATTGCTTTCTGTGAAAAATTTCATTCATACTTGAAGGGATTAGTAGAATTTTGGCCAGAGGTAATTTTCTTATTCATTTTGGTAATGGATAAAACAAAAATTATGTGATTTCTCATCATACATACATTTCTAAATAAATAGGAATTTGAACATGCTCTTGCAGAGGAAGCTGAAAATGCTCTTGTAGAAAAAATTCATTGTGTTTTTTTGGGAAATTTTATAAATCAAAAAAAGGCTGTAAAGTAAGCATAGATGAAAATAATGCAAGACACAATCAACCAATCTATATGATTCTAATAAAGTTATATATATATATATATATATACTCGTATGTTTATATAAAAATTATCATAGTCGAAATGCATGGCAAAGAATTTTGTCAGAAACTATTGATGAAAAAATCAATCAATTCTATCAAGATTTCAATCCTTTACGACGGGTTAACAATTATTATGAACTCAATATTAAAGATAAGGTTAGCAAATAATCGTGCTTATATATTGCAATTGAGATAATTTCTGATTTGAATGAATGATAATGTATTATATTCTATAGGTGTTAATACTAAATACATTGATTACGTGGCAACTACAAGAATCTGATGTAATACGAAAAGCCATTGAAATAGAATATAGAAAAGGAAAGAGGAATCAAAATAATGATTTAGAAGTTTTGCCATTTGGCGAAGATAAAAAGGGACGTAAATATTATTATTTTGGAAGTAAGTTTCACACATACATGTATTCATATTGTAAGTTAAAAAATGAAATTTTTTAAAAAAATATTTATTTATTGATCAGAAGGCGCGAGAGTTTACCGTGAAACCATCATTAAAAATAAAAATAAAGATAAAACACAATCAAATACTATTTGGGAATCAATTACTACTACACTTGAAGAATTGGAAAGCTATATTAACGATACCAACGAGTTAAAGATAAGGGTTGGCAAGGATAAACAACTTCGTAATATGATTATTAATGAAATTATTCCAAAGATAAAACAAGATATTGAAGTACGTTTATATTTATTATCGTTATTGTTATTGTTATTGTTGATTTTTTGATTTTTGATTTTTTGATTTTTTTTTAAAATAATTTTTTAAATAGTCAAAAGAAAAATTTAATGCAAGAAAACTTCGTAAGGAACAACGTGTAATAGCAAATCTTGATGCTACTAATACATTAATAACAAACGATCGTGATAATAATGATCACTATGTTGCATTATCAAACCCCTATATGACGAGGTCTAAACGAGCTCATGAAAATGGTGGAACTAACACCAACAATATTAATAATGATGTTGTATCATCGAGCTCTTATATGACAAGGCTTAAAAGAAGTCGTGAAGAAATAGTCAATGATGATGATAACAATAATAATCATAAGAGTGTTCATGAAAAGAAAAAGATCAAAACATCATCACAATCTATGAGCTACTCGATCTCTACAAATTCCACGAGCAGTGCAACTACAAATACCACCAACACAACAACCACTACAGCTGCCACTACCATTACTACTTCCAACACTGCTCCAACTTACAAAGAAGTATTCGGAAGTGATTCAGAAATGGATCTTTCAGATTCTGAAGATTATGATTTTTCAGACGATAATTAATCATTAAAATTAAAATCGAGCTTTTTCATTATTATTTCGAAAAAAAATTTTGATTTTTTTAGGGGCCCATGGATATGAGTAACAAAATTAAGTTACACAAAAAATAAAATTTATAATGCACAAATCGCGTGCACCGAAGGGTACAGTTATCCGATGAGGGAAAATTTAAATATATATAATAATCATAATAGCCCAACTAAATTTATTTTTATATAAAATTCTACTGAGGATCTTTCTTCGGAATATTCAGAATATCCAATTAATTTTATAGTAATAAGTCTAGGATCTTGTCACTTATTCATTAATATTTTCAATGATTCATAAGAAATCCCAACTTTATCCTTAAAACGTATGCTTTTAAATTTTAGGTATGTTTGATTTAAGACTGTTGATATTCCATTTTATATTCATGTGTTGTATCATGAAAGCTATTAATTTAATACATTGTGATTTAACAAAGTATCGGCTCTTTATCCACATTATTTGCATATAATATAATATTGATAAACTTCATAAATTTTTATAGTATTGTACAATTTATTGAATCAACTCTCCCAGAAAGTTTTCGTCGCTTGATTTGCTTTTAATCTCTAGAGTTTTAAGAGTATTTCGAATTATTTAATAAAATCCGACAATTAGAAAGTGAGAAAGTCATCTTTTCAAATATTTCTAAATAAACAGATTTCAAATAATTATAGCATAAATATTTAAATGTTGGTACTAAAGAATATAGATTGACACCTCCGTGACTTAGGTAACGAATTATTTATTCTGTGTGAATTGAAATTGCCAGTCTGAAATCGTCTGTAAGAAGGGGTCTACACCGATTCCATGACAACTCATTTCATTAACTAAACTGACTACTCGGCTAATAAATGACTTAACTGACTTTAACAGATTAGCCGGATAATCGGCCAACATCACCAGATATATGTCATTCCTCGATAATCATAATGGTATGATATGGTCATGTCAGGAAAACAAAGAAATATTATGCTAAATTTGTAGAATGCATTGAAAAACGTCCTGTCGGGAAAACGTCTGTCGGTGAATGGGCGCAACCCGTAAGAAGAGCTAGTTTTTAGTGTGATTTTGAGCTATATAGATCACTATTACATATATAATTACAACAAAATGATTATAATGTACCTTAAAGAATTTGCTAATTTATAAAAAAAAAGTTCGGGACTATCAAAAAACTGCAATCTAATCTATGAAAAAATATAGGATGGTCGAAGTTCTAAATGAGTATCCTAATAGTTGAATCATCTTTCTGTTATAGTTTTAAACATAATTTGTCGTGATCTTGTCAGATTTTATTATGGTTGAGTAGAGGCGGCTTCTCCAATAATTCAATTTTCATGCGATGTTATTTTTAATTAAAGATCCTTTATCTTCTACCTGTAAATAGCTTATTGTTATTTTAGTACTTTTAAAAGAACAATTCAATAAGGATTTCTCTATAGTATCGGAATGCATAAGTTATGCCATCAGGGTTAAAAAATTGATATAGATCCAGTTTGTTTTTACCGACAAAATTTGAAAATTTCCGGAAGAAATTTGATCAGAAAATTTTCTATACAAATAAATGGATTGATTGTATTAAACTATTTTAAAGTTAATTCAGTCTCCAATGAAGAATATAGTAATGTTGAAATTATGATGATGATGATGATTATGCTAATATAATTGATGATACGAGTACTTCACAATTGAAGGATAATGATAAAGCGACTATGTCTAATTCATATAAAAAATCGAAAGACAGAGCTTTAAATATGAACGGCCGCTTACATTTCCATGGTTGGTATATGATAACATTAGCAAATTGGTGCATTGTAAAATTATAAATCTCATTCAAAAAAAAAATTTTTTTTGCAACTAAAGGTAATAATTATAAAATATTATTCTTTTGTTTTATGATTTAATATTTGAACTTATTACCTCAAATAGGATTTCTGTTCTTAAGGAACATCCTAAATCAGATGAACATAATAATGCTATAAATAGAGAAAAGGAAAAAGAAGCAAGCAATGTATGATGTTTCTACCAAAAGGCTGATAATCATGACTTTGGGTTAACGAAAACTATATGTTTGATGGCCAAAAATAACATTCTATTGCATAAGTTTTCTAGTACAGTAAATCTTGGTAGAACACTAAATTCTGGCCATCAAATTTTGGAATCTATATCTTTATCGATAAATGATGAAATTTGGGGAAAGTGTCATTTTTTGGGATGAAAATACTGATATTGCTACACAATCTCGTTTGAATGATGTTTTTGGAGAAGAAGAGTTACAGCAAGTAACAATTATTATGGTATATCTAAAAATTCAGCTGAACCAATTATTGACTTAGATAGTATAGATAATATTAACAAACTACATAAATTTGTCTACGGAGAATTTTCTTTATATTATTCATAAAAACAATACATAATTTTATCCTAACATTGTAAATTTTTTTTTTTCCAATAATCGTAGTTTATGACATTAAATATGTTCATGCTATGGGAATATGGAATGGATTAGCTAAAAACGAAAAATTATAGATAGTAAAAAAGATCATCAAAAATAGCTACAATATACAAAAAAAAAATGACAATTTATTATTTGTTTGGACCAAATAAAATACGTTCAAGCGAGGTGTTTTTAAAGTCAAAATTATGTTATGGATTCGTTAATTTAAAACCAATTTTACCGTATGTAAATTCCCTAATTTTATTGTATGAATTTTTGAATTAATTAATTAAATAATTGATAAAAAATGATGGTTGTATTGATTCATCATCACTTAGTGGTCGTATCCTTTTATTTTTTAATCTTTGAATTTTTCAAAATTCAACATATAGAATCCATAATTTACTTTTAAACAATAGATGTATTAGTGGCACCATATCGTCAAGTCCCAAGGTTTACAGAATTAACTTCTGAAGAGGTGATCAAAACAATTTTTTTAAATCAATAATATCATCATCATCATCATCTTTGTAATTTTCTAATAATGATTTTTATTAATAGGTTTGTGATATAATGATAAGTGCTCAAAAAATTGGTAAAGTCATCGAAAAGGAGTATAAAAGTGATTCTTTGACTATAGCAATTCAAGTAATTTATCAATTAATACATATACATGTGTGTATTTATATGCAGGGATGTAAAATATCTATTAAATTTAAATTTATATTTTAGGATGGTCCAGCAGCTGGTCAAACGGTAAAGATAGTAATAGATATCAATAGATTATTAAACACGCTGCTTAATCTTTCTTTCTCACTTAATAATAGGTGCCACATTGTCATGTTCATATAATACCTAGAAAATTAGGTGATTATATAAATAATGATGATATTTATAAGGATATTGATAAATCACAATTAGCTATTGATAATGAAGAGAGGAAACCTCGTAGTTTGGAGGAAATGGCTAAAGAAGCTGAATATTTAGGAAAATTTTTTATTGATGAAAATAGCAATTAACCAAAATAAATATACATGAATTTTCTTTATGATAACAATAATAATGTTTATATAATTATAACAATTATATTAAATAATAACGGTTAAGCAGTAAATAAATTAAAATACAAATCTCAACAAATAAATATATAGTAATAATATAATGAATGTATGCTGTTACTATATTTGTTCATTATTGAGGATGCTGTGCTTGAGGCACTTGCATTTAAGATCCCTGATTGAATTGATTGAATTGAGAAGGTGGTACTTGAGATTGTTGAGGCATTGGAGTATAATGTTGTTGAAGTAATTGTAGAGGAGGTTGAGGTTGTTGTTGTTGTTGCTGCTGCTGCTGTTATTATTATTATTGAAAATATTTATGTTAAATTTATGGAATAATAATATACTTATTAAAAATAAATAAATAAATAAGTTACCTGAGGGTTATAATTTTGTTGCTGTTGAGGAAGAGAAGGATTTGATGCATTATTATTGTAAATTGAAGTAGGCATATATGAAGATTGATTTGGATTTTGATTTGGATTTTGATTTTGATTTGGATTTGGATTTGGATATGGTGGGTATTGATTTTGTGGCAATTGTTGTGCTTGGGTGGATGGTGATACTGCTGCTGAAGAATTTTGTATATTTGGGGGTTGTAATGTAGGAGGCATACTTGAAGTTTGATTATTTAAATATTGTGGTAGTTGTTGTTGCTGTTGTAATAGATGTTGATGTGGGTTTACTGATGATGGTGATGGTATTGATTGCTGCTGCTGCTGCTGCTGTTGTAGAATAGAAGCTATTTGAATTGAAGATTCTTGTGGTTGTTGTGGTTGTGGTTGTTGATTTGGATCAAAAGCATTTTGCAGCCCTGGCAGGTTATTAATATTAGCAGTGTTAATGACTGGTAGTTGATATTGTGTGTTATGAAGAGAAGATTGCTGTGGAGCTTGCTGTGAGGCTTGTTGTGGAACTTGTTGAATAGCAGCAGTAACTTGCTTAAGAGCAGCTGTAAGATCTTGCTCTTGAGCCTGCTTTTGAGCCTGCAATTGAGCTTGTTGTTGAGCCTGCTGTTGAGCCTGCAGTTGAGCTTGCTGCTGAGCCTGGATTTGAGCCTGCAGTTGAGCTTGCTGCTGAGCTTGCAGTTGAGCCTGCTGCTGAGCTTGCTCTTGAGCTTGCAGTTGAGCCTGGAGTTGAGCCTGCTGTTGAGCTTGCTCTTGAGCTTGCAGTTGAGCCTGGAGTTGAGCCTGCTGTTGAGCCTGCTGTTGAGCCTGGAGTTGAGCCTGCTGTTGAGCCTGGAGTTGAGCCTGCTGTTGAGCCTGGAGTTGAGCTTGCTCTTGAGCCTGCTTCTGAGCCTGGAGTTGAGCCTGCTCTTGAGCCTGCTTCTGAGCCTGCAGTTGAGCTTGCAGTTGAGCTTGCTCTTGAGCTTGCAGTTGAGCTTGTAATTGCAATTGAGCCTGGATATTGTTTTGTTGTAGAGCTTGAAGATCTTGTGTGCTAGATGGATATGCTAAAGGGATTTGATTAAGCAAGCTCGAAGAGTCTTGATTATTTGTAGTTGGGAACAATTTATAATGAGTTTGCTGTGGAATTTGTTGAGAAGTGATATTGAGATCAGATTTTATTGGTTGTGGTTGTGGTGGGAGTTGACTTATTTCGTTAGAATTGGATTGTTGATACACAGGTATTTGAGGAAGAGGTAATGTATCTCTTCTTGGTGTAGAATAAGTTGGCTGTTCAATTATACCACTTTTGGTTGGATACTGTGGATATGATACTATTTTGTGATAAAATCAATTAATATGAGCAAGAAAAAAAATTTTTTTTTAAAAATAATAGTAATAATCATAATAATAATAACCAGATTCATCATATCTTTCAATTGATTTTTCCATAAGTTGTTCATAGCTTTTTGTAGCTTGAATGTATCTATGATGAAGTGAGAGCAGATCATCTAGACACAAAAAGTAATTATTTTATTAATAAATATTTTTTAAAGAATTCATGATGATGATGATAGAGTGATATAATCATACCTTTCTTCTGACTATATTTCTCAATAAGTTTGACCAATTTTGATCGAATAGGTAATGTTGATTGATATAATTCCTTTAAAAATGTATTTTTATAAATATAAATATAAAAATAAAAATGTTCCATTACTTATAATAATAATAATAATAATAATAGAAACCTGAATTTCTTCGTCTTCCGCCGCATCTTTCGATGGATCAATCTTTTCCAATTTTTCCAGTAATTTGTCTATTTTTTGAGCCTGCTCAAATACCGCTAATTCCATTTCAGCTTCTTTTGTAATATCTGCAACAGTTGGCTCATTTATGACTTCCTAACCAGCCAACCAATCAATCAATCAATACCAATTAATTATTAAAAACTATTATTATTAAAAAGATGAAGATTGCGTGAAAGATAAATGAATACTTACAACGTAATTTACTGGAAAAATACCAGTCTTTCCACGTAATTCACCACGCCACCATTCTTTATAGATACTGTCAAGAACTTTGATAACATCACCGCGTACGAAACCAAGTTCGCCACCTTCATTAGGTACAAAATCATATAGTGCCTTAACTCTTTTTGGAATTTCTGGCTTTTTCGTTTTTGTTTCTTTGATAATCCTTTCTTTATTCTTGATCTTAATAATAATAATAATAATAATAATAATATCAGTCAGTAAATCATTCCAAGGGTAAATACATATATATATATTATATATGTATCTTCAAATTTATATAAAAATAAAGATACATACTGATGAAGGAATTGAAGGTGGAGTTGCTAGTTTAAACTTTTTATAAATAAATTAAAAATTGGTCAATTTTAAATATATATTATAAATATTATAAATCAAGTATATTAAAAAAATATTATACAGTAGTTGATGGTTTAGGACTTTTTGTTTCTTCGAGTGAACGTTCTATTGCTAATCTCAGTTCTTCTTCGTATTTGCGTTCTTCCTATAAAATTTTCGAAAAAATTTGTAATTCATGACAATTGGTTAATATAGAAAATAAATATATTAACCTCAGCTCTTTCTCTTCTCTCTCTTTCTCTATCGTCCATTTTGTTTTAATGTTTAAAATGTAAAAAATTTGAAGAAAAAAATGTATAAATGATTTTTTTTTTTAAAAAAAAAGGAATATTGTTACGTAATATTATTATTTATTTTTGTCTGGGTTTTTATAAATGGAAATTTTACAAAGATCAGACAGATGCAAGTTCTTTGTAATACAACATATCTTAAAGAAAAAGCTTATTACACGTGGCGGGCTATTTATTAACATTGAATAAAATTATAAAGTAGCAGATTTATAACAATTATAAGAAAAAAGCAAATCTCATAATTTTTTTTCAGATTCATCATCCTTTTTCCTCCTTTTTTCGTTTCTTTTCTCTGTCCATGGAACTAATTCGAGAGATCTTTTTTGCAGTTCAATATATTGTTGCATTTGTTTATTTTTTTCCTCTGCTTCTTTTCTCTTTATTTCCATTTCTTCCCTTCTGATACGTTCTTCTTCAACCTTTTGACAAGCATCGGAAAAAAAGTTAATAAATGGATTGACGGTTGGTTGTCTTCCATATGCTCGTATGAATATTAATGAATAAATTCACTTATCAATTAATTAACAATACCTTTTTCTCCTCTTCTAATCTTTGCATTTCAATTTTCATTTTTTCTTGCTCCTCGAGTGACTCTTTCTCTGTCATTTCTCTATCAACTGCTTCAATAAGTTTTTTACTCAATGAAATGATCGTCGAAGCACCAAAGTTTGTACGATTCCTAACACGTTCATGTTCAATTGGTAAATGTCTATTTTCTTCTGTAAGCAACGACTCAAATACACTAAAATATAAAAATATATGTAAATGTGATAATGAATTAACATACATTAGTATTTATACTTGTGTGTTTGTACTTATATAAGCCATAGACATACGTGTTTGCTCTTTCAGCACGTTCAATAGCTCTTCTGATATCTTCAGATTTTTGTGACGAATTTGCAATTTTTTCTAATAAGAATTGTGCCATACCCTGTTCTAATAAGGCAATATTGTGTTGCACTAGTTTATTTGTTGGATCTAATTCATATGCCTTTATCATTTCATCAAACCAAATCAAATTTGTTATTTGTATAATGCACATATATTTGGGTTTTTTGAAAAATAGGAGGAAATACACATACTTTTTGAGTCCAATCTAATGCCTTCTCCATCAACTCTAAACTTTTGTTTTCTTTTGCGTAAATATAATATGTTCTTGCTATCCATTCAATGCATTGCGAATTACTATCTTTGCTTTTTTTTAACGCATAGTCATACTAAAAAGTTAAATAGTCAAATTTTTTATATTCCATGAATGTGAAGGAAAAATCTAATAATAAAAATAAATCGCTAATTACATATCTTATAGCCTCTGTATATTGTCCAAGATGACAACAAGTATGTGCATAATTAATTGCAAAGTCTGCATTTGTTCTTTTTGCTGTGACCAACTAAAAATACAACAATAAAAAATTTCATATATTATTAAAAAATCAACGTATTGAACGAACAAAATAATTATCGGATTAATAATGCCCACAGTATAGAACAGTTCATTTGCTTCTTTTATCCTTCCAGTTTCAGCCATTGCAACAGCAATCCCATTACATGCATACAAATTTTTTCCTTTTTCGCCAGTTTTCAAAGCCGATTTAAAATACTCGACTGATTTTTTATAATAGGCATCACGTTCAGTTCGTTGTGATTCAAGTTTATAAGTTCTTGCTTTTGATAAATGTAGACTACCCAATAAAGTCAAAATGCTTGAGCTGGCTTTGTGTGATGATATAGAATCAAGTATTTTTTTTGCTTTTTTCAAATCACCTTGTCTAATTAGAAAACTTGCATGAAGCTTTTTGATTTCTAGATTTTTTTCATCAATTTCTGACAATTCCTCATAGTATTGATTGACCTTTTCTGGAAACATGTGTAATGTTTTCTCCAACACCCCACCCAATCGCATGTTTGCCATCTTGAATGAAGGATGCGCCAGTGTCAATTCTCGATATAAAGCTTCTGCTTCATTGTATGATCCAAGATTTTCATATGCACGAGCCAAGTTGAATTTAATTGCCACCTCTTTTGGCTGTCGCTCAGATTCTGGGAGATTTATACACTCTTCCAAAGCTTGTAAATATTGTTCTTTGGCACCTTCATAATTTTCTATTAATTAGTCAGTCAGTCAGTTAGTTAGTTGACTAGTTAGTGTTAGTTAGCTCATTAATTTATTTTAAAATTCTTACTCAATTTAAATAACAAATTTCCTTTTCTAATAATTATTGAAATTGGAATAGGTTTTTTATTTTCAATAAAAAGGTTAATAGCTCTGTTCAATGATTGGAAACTTTGATTAATTCGTTTATTATTTTCATGTAATTTTGATTTAAATATGAGTATATCAGGATTGTCATATGCTTCTTCTTTAAAATATTTTGAGATATATTCAATTTCATCTGTTATTTGCTTTTGTAATTTCCTGTCAGTAGTAGATTTTATTCTCAACAATCCTACAATTATTATCAAGGTTATAAAATCTAAATTTTTAATATAAATTTTTTTCTTGAGATTTTCAAGTTGTTCATGCGCTTGATCATATTGTTTAAAATGTATCATCATTTGTGCAAGACCGAGCCTAGACATTATATGATAATCAAGCAAATCTACAGTTTGCTGGTAATGATAATAGGCTTTATCATATTCCTCATTTCGATGAAAAGCAACAGCTTGTAGATAATGTGCTTCACCCAATATTGGTTTTGTAGGAGCAAATCTTTCAGCACGTCTTGCTGCTTCCAAAAGATTTGCATAATCTTGTTGAAAGAAATATCCATGCGACAATATGATTAGTGAACTGGAGTGCGAAGGATCAATCTCTAAACATTTTCTAACTTTTTCCATTGAATGTGCAAAAGTTCTCAATCGTTCATCATCATCAATTTGTTGGGGTTGTTTAGCAATATCAAGTTCAAATGTTGCTAGTAACACCAGCGCTGATATATTATTTGGATTTACCTCCAGTGCCCTGTCAAAAGCTGCTAATGCTTGTTTATAACTATTTAATTTATTGTAACAAAGTCCTATTCCAATACGAGGATCTGGTGTTATAAGATTTGGATTAAGTGATAATATTTTTTGATAAGTTATAAGTGCTTCACTATATTTCTGATGATGGTATTGCACTCTAGCCTACAATAATGTTATTATTATATTTATTAATCGGCTTAATAATGATAAGAAAATATTATATATATATTCTTCATAAATATAATCTTTTTATATAACTTACATGCCCAAACAATGCAGGTATAAAATTTGGTGCGATTTTTAATGAATTTTCAAAACAATATTCTGCATTACTTGGTTCATTTTTTTGTAAGTAAAGCATACCTTTTACATATTATTTCAAGTGGTAGGAATCAAAAAAAAAAAAAAGAATTTCTTTATATTTTAATCAAATAAAAAATATTTTAAATATCTAGATGATAATTGAATAGATAGATACCTTTATTTACCCAAAGCATTGGATCACGTGAATCTCCTTGTGAATATTGTGTTGCTTCGTTAAATTTTTCAGTAGCAAGATTTAAATATCTATCTTTTAAATCTTTGTCTATAAAACTATTTATCTTATTTGCAACTTTTAAATACAAGCTGCCAAGTATGTTGTTAGACTTGTATTTATTTTCATTGGTTCCATTAGCTCTTAAACCTTTTTCAATTACTTTTATCGCTTCTTCTGGTTGACCTTTCTTTAGATTGTAGTACATTGCTATTGAAACATAGTACTTTATATCTGCACCTTCTTCCTGTAAAAAACTACAAACTTCGTCGGCATTATTAAAATCTTTTTCAATATTAAGGACAACTTCATTTTCTTGCCCAAGAGGTATAGTAAAAACGTTTGAAAATAAGTCGGCTTTATTCATTATTATTATATGATTGTCTTAAAAAAAATATGTATTTGAATGCAAAATTACTTTTATAGAACCCACCCCTAATTATAAATTACATAATTTACAAAGGTAAACATTGATATTAATATGGACAAGACAGGTAGGTAACATTTACACAAATTGTGTGAAGACACCATTATAATTTTTCTTTGCAAAGTATATACGAATCAAAATTGTGGCCAAAAATATTCATTCAATTTATTAACATTGTTATTCGTAAAAAAGAATGTCGTTTGCAATTATCTGTTATTATTATATACAATATTTAATTTAAAAAAATACAATTATCATAGAAATAAATCTTGTAAAAAATAATATTGTAAAAATATTATTATTATTATATTATTATTATTATTATTATTATATTATTATGATGAAATTCTTTTTGATGTAATAAATTCAGATCCTCGATTTTCATTATGATAATATTTAGGAGTACAGCTATATTGATCGGGTAGCTCATGACTTCGTGGCAACTTGCTACGTGACCCTACTCGACAAAGTAAAATATTAATGTGGTTGTTAATGTTAATGATTTATCTTATTATTATTATTAAAGAATATAATAAAAATAAATTATTACCATAATTTAAATATTGATTATGATTTTTATTATTATTAAAGATACGTCTTACTCCATCGTCCCTAGAATTTCCAGGATTATTTTTTTGACTATTCATAATTGATTTTTTCATCTTTGATTTTGTTTTAATAATTTAAATTTTTATTTTGGTGGGAATTTATATAATTTATAATTCTATGTAAGAAATAATGACATCATGATGATTTAATAAAATTGTCAAACTGAACTAACCATTTTAATAGATGATTTTCTGGCATAACAGAATACTATTACCATTACTATTATGTTGCGTAAATACCGCAGATAATAATAATTTCGTAATATTAACGTTAAGAAAATTTGCATCACTATCACCATCACTATTATTACAAAATTTGGCGTTAATTTGTTATCTAATGAACAATACACTTATCGAGAACTTTCAGGTGTTGTGCGTCAATCATTTTTTCTATATTATTCTGTTTTTAAAAATATATCCTTTTTCAGAAACATGGCTTCAAATGAACAACCGCCGCCATAAAAAAACAGTCGGTAAAGAATGTGGTGCTGTTCTTTTCTAATGATGGCTCTACCGTAAATCAAATAAATCACAATTTGAAACAATTCATCCTTCAAAATTAAATAAATGAATATTTTTTATTTCAAGTTCTTCTAACAAATGCTTTTTAATAATTATATATTTTACTATATCATATTAATATTATCTATTTTGTAAATAGTGGTTTTTTTTTTAATGCAATGCGGAACTTGTTTTTAGCACGTACTAGTACAGAATTATAGCACTTCATCACGTTGCCCCGCACCATAATTGCTCAACGCCACGGTTGTACAATGATGTACGTACTGTAAACGGTGAACTTTGACCCTGAGAATTTGTGACATCGTGCCCGGATCAGTTTATAAAATTCAATGTGCGGGAATGTGCGGCAGGTAAACGTCATACTAATATACAGTCAAACCTCTTTATAACGGTCCTCTTTATAACGGATTTTCGTTATACCGAACAAATTTTTGTTGCTGTTTTTTTTACTAAATAAAAAAAATCCGTTATAATGAACTATATTAATATAATAATAATAAAACCTCGTTATTCCGTATAACGAACATTTGGTGAAATATATATATATATATATGGTACTAATTCCTTATACCGAACTTTTGTAATAAAATCATTCGAATAAATTTTTTGAAATATATTTTTTAGGTTTTGAAATAAATAAAAAAACTTATAGATAATGATGATGTAAAGTTTTTCATAAATTAAAGGAAAAAATTAGTTTATATAACTTTAAAAATTTAATTCAAAGAAAAATAACATTAGAAGCAATGCTATAACGTTTAATTCTATGTTTTAATTTGGTTGTACAATTAAAAATTTTTTTTTATAAAAAAAATCACGTGTTTACCTCCCATACCGAACATTTTGTTATAGCGAACAGTTGGGTTGAAATTCATTTCAAACTCACGCGATTTGATTACGGATTGAGGATGGGAATGACTAGTGCTAGATATGTGCCATGCGCATGATAAATATTAATTTTAAAAAATAATACCCCCAGCAGACTCACTTCAATAAACTTGGTAAAGTATCAGGTTTTCGGCAATCTCATGCACTATGCAAATGTGTTGCACATTTTAGAATTTGTTCAAGAGTAACTATAACAGCTCCCCAAGGGTATTTTGGTTCAAATTTTCAACCCAATGTAAAGCAATGCAACAATTCTCATTTACCAATAGAACAAAATAATATAATCACTACAAGACATTCATAAAATTTATCAATCAATAATTTTGTTGACAGAATATCTTTGATTTTATGTTTCTTATTAAGTTAACAAAATAATAAATATAATATACATGGAATGGTAATTACCTAATTACCGTAAATACTTAATTCGTAATTATCGTAATTAATTATTACTTTCCCTCTTTAAAAACGTAATTACGAAATTAATTATGAATAATAATGAATACAGAATGAATGCTATTTGAAATTGAAATCAAAAACTGAAAATTTTCTATACAACCCGTTATTAACACTACACTGGTTAACCAACGTCAAACCTTTGCTCTATACTAAAGCAAATAAACAAAACCTCGGCATTCTGATAACCAAATGGACAATTAAACCCTACTGTTTAATTTCCGGCTACAAAAGTGTTTTATAAAGAGAAACAAAGAATTTATTTATTTATTATTATGTATTACGTATTACGGTAAAGTCTTGAAAGATAACGCACCCGAGAGATAGCACCCATACTTTAAAACAATTTGTTACACGGCTGTAAACAGTTGCGGTTAGAGGCCTGCATCGGGTTGGGTAGATTTGGTTTTGACGTCAAAATAACTTTGGGTCGGGTTCGGGTTGTAATTTACAACAATTATGACCCAATTACTTGCAAAAAAAAATCGAGAAAAAATATAGTGTCGAAATATCCAGCATATTTTAAAATTTTATTGGTGGGTTTGGAGTAGGCTATGCATGTTTAGAAATTAAATTGGCAATTACGGATATTAATATTAACACACTTTTTTGAATCAAATATTCATTAAATATATATAGGTTATATACAAATATATACATATGTATGTATATGTTCTCACGAACCATGATGGTGTTGGTGCTGACAGTAATAATGATGATGATGATAATTCTATGCAAGCAATATTATCAACTACAATTTCAAATTCAAATTCAAATGTAGAGTTAGGTGATTTTAAAAAATATTATGATGATAGTTATGGCAAAGATGTATTTATCAACAAAATACAAAAAGATGATAACTCTAATATTTTAGAATGGTAGAAAGTGTTTATCCAAGGCTTTCAAGGCCTGCCGCCTATTATCTTTCAATTAGTGAAGAGAGTTTAATGCAGCCGGACTTACATTAATAAGCTTTGCTCAAATTTAAATCCACAAACAATTGATAGTATTCTTGTAAATATTTTTTTTAATAAAATTGTGTCACAACGTCGTTTAATAAAACGGGTTGAGTTCAGGTTGAGATTTTTATAATTTTTTGTGTACAGGTTGCAAATTATAAATTTATACGAGTTCGGGTTGGGTAATCATTCAATTATGATGACCCGTGCAGGCCTTTAGTTGTGGTGCTATCCTTCGAGACTTTTTGGTACAATATTACGTTTTGGCAAAATAATTACCATCCTATGTATAAAATTTTTGCATTTTTCCCACCCCTAGAAATGTCATCTTTACACAATATATAAATGAACAATGAAAATGTTCTTGGTGTAATCCTGTATCATACATTTTTGGGGATTTTTAATTTTTACAAGTCCCACAACTTTTCCCAAAAACGAGATAATGTAACACTAAAAAAATAACGTTTTTTTTTTTGAAGCCAAAGTTACGACAAATGCGTTACACAAAAAATTAGATATCAAAAAAACGAATTGAAACAAAATAAAAATTTGAATTTTTTCCCTTGTATTGCAGAACTTTTATCGTATGAATTGCCAAGATGAATGTAAAGAAAAATTTCTTCTTTATATAAAGAATACAGCCAAGTTCATTTATTTCAAATTTAATAAAATAGACTATTGTGTTGATCAAAGAAATGTGCAAAACATATACTTGCTATCTCCCACCTTGCACCTTCACGGAATTACATTTTATTCTATTGCTAATGTCAAATATTTTATTTTAAATTAATAGATAACAAATGGTATATACTGTAAATTCCGCAAAGATAGCACGCCACTTTTAACAACCGTTACACGGTTGTTTCATCTTTCCGGACTTTACGGTATATCAATGTGTTATCATCATGTTTTGAGATTGTTGCAAAAAAAAAAAAAACAATGCGGTGTAACGAAATATATAAAGAAAGAATACTTCAATTCATTTAAAAAAGAAAGGTATTTTTTGTATCATGTATTCAGACAGTTTTTTTGTCATAGGGATATTATATATAAAGACTAATAAAATTATATTATCGTAATATGTCATGTTAATATTAAATATGAAATTCATTAAAATTCCATTAGTTATCTTAATAATAATAATACTCCAACCATTATTAATAATCATTTATCCAAATAATTTAGTATTTATAAATGCATCAACTACAACAACAACCACCACCACTTCACCACCTTCACCACAAATCACCGCTTACTTGGAAAAAAGACAAATAACTTCAACCCGAACCGAGACTGTCATAGATACAATAACCAATGTTATGCGCCCAAAACCTTCACCAACTGTACCTGCAATTGCAACAACTGGTTTTGAACATTGTGGTGCTGGTGTTAATTTCACCGAATTCAAAGTTGAATATTTTAAAAAAACTATCACAGTTAGAGTAAATGGAACTAATCCATTAAATATCCAAAATTGGGAAGGTAATATTTAGATATTTATTAATTAATGGTTGATTCATAATAATAAATTAATTTTTCATTATTATTTTTTAGTGAATCTTTTTGTCTATTTTGATCCTAGACATCAAGTTAAATTAAATTTTACAAATTGTGCACAAGGTGAAATCCCAAATCCTTTAAATACTAATGGATTTGGATGTTTTATTAATGTAACCAATAAACCTGATTTTGGCTTTGTTGGTTGGCAGACTAATTTATTTGATGATGATGGAATACCTGGTAAGTAAAACTTTTACATGCATGCATACATAAACTCTTATTTATATTTACTGTATATTATTGTTATACTCAAAAAACATATATAAAAGATATTGCATTTGAAATTCCTGGTATGGGATCGTATGCCGTTTTAACATTACTTCCACCACCAGAAGATATTAACAATGTAAATTATGTTGATATTGGTTGTTTATCTGTACCAATTGGAAATCCTAATACTGCTTATTCTCACGAAGTAGTATTCGCATCAACAACCATAGTTGGACTAGGAATATTATTTGCTTGTGGAAATTATTTGGTATCTAGTAGTTTCCATTTGGATGGAAACTCTCATAATCAAACACAATATGACCATCAAGGTCATCATAATCATAATCAAACACAATATGACCATCAAGATCATCTTAATCATAATCAACTACAATATGACCATCAAGGTCATCTTAATCATAATCAAATACAATATGACCATCAAGGTCATTTTAATCATAATCAACTACAATATGACCATCAAGGTCATCTTAATCATAATCAAACACAACATGACCATCAAGGTCATCTTAATCATAATCAACTACAATATGACCATCAAGGTCATCATAATCATAATCAAACACAATATGACCATCAAGGTCATCATAATCATAATCAAACACAATATAACCATCAAGATCATCATAATCATAATCAAACACAATATGACCATCAAGATCATTATAATCATAATCATAATCATGATCATAATTGTGAACATTGGCCTGATCGCCATCATGATAATGGTGAACATGGATGTGATCATCATAATAACAAAAATGATAATTTTAATCATAATGTACCCAATAGTACAATTGATACTAAGAATGGATTTCATGATGTATTCAATAAGGACAATGATCCAACTTCAACAACAAAAGCAAGAAACCCCTCATCAACACCACCAACAACAACAGGGCCGGTGCAAACTACAATGTATGATTTCATTGGCATGTTACAATTTATTGTGACAACTGGTATTCTTTCACTATCAAACTTGCCAATTGGTTATAGACAATTTTCTTTATGGTTTGGTTGGTCAGTTGGGTTTGTAAAAGTAGATTTTTTATCAAATGCAGCCAACAAATTGCGTGAAACAACTATATGTGCATATATGAATATTTGTGATGTTGCGGCATCAACAGGTTACATAGGATTTGATGATTCAAACACTTGTATTAAAAACAGAGTAACAAACACCAACTCAGATACACCAGCTCCCCAGTATTTATTTTTTGCTAACACAACTAATGATGAAAAAGTAACTTTTAATAATCCAAATGGATTTTCTACTTATGCAAGTATTTTTAAAGTTCCTGACATGAATCTATTTTTTGTTGTATTTATCAGTTTCTTGATTGCATTGGCAACAGCATTGGTTTCAATATTGTTGATTGTATTAATATCATTTGCATTAAAAAAATATTGGAAAAAATGGCCAAAAGTTGAATATTTTGCACAAAAATCTTATTTGTTTGTATATGGTGGCTTATTCAGAGTGGTAAGTAGATATATTATTATAATTTATGGATTATGAATATTTGTATATTTGTGTTGTAATTAATCGGTATTTCTCTTCAAATATATATAATAGTTTGTATTATTTTATTATTCATTATCACTGTTCTCAGTTTATCAATTAGCTCTTTACAATGATTGTTGGATATTATTATTGATAGCTAGTCTTGTGTTATTGTTAATATTATTATATTTCACTTATTGTTCACGCATCATACTCAAAGTGCTCAAAGAGAATCCATTATTGCTTGCTGAGGAATCAAAATTCAAAATAGTCTACTCGTCACTCTACTCACATTTCAAAAATCACAAATTCAAGGATGCTAATCGAATTTGGTTCTTCTTACCGGAAGTTGTTTACAATATATCAAAAGCGGTAATAGTTGTATTGTTTCGACACAGTGGACTATTGCAATTGATTGGGATATTTTTAATAGAATCATTATTTTTGATCAGTATAATAAAATATAAACCATACAAAATTAATAGTGTCAATTATTTGCAAATTGGTATCTCGATAGCCAAAGTATTAATCACACTACTGCTGCTTCTATTCACTAAAGAAATAACTATCTCACCAATCACTAGAATAGCTGTATCTTTACTATTGTTCATATTGGAAGGTTTATGCGTCATATTGTTGGGTGGAATATTATTTGTCAATATATTTAGGAAAGCGTATGGGATGTTTCGGAAAAAACTGAAAAAAGAAGTTTAATAGGATTAGTATATTAATATTGACTAAGATGATTATTATAAATATTCTAATGAAACCTTTTTATAATTTTGTATATATTAATTTATTCTAAAGATAAAAATGTATGTGACATATGATTGTGTAGCAGTCAAAATGAATAAATCATTTACATATTGGACAAGGTTCATATTCAAGAGTCATGTTAATGTTTTGATATTTATTCCCTAAATGATTTGTTGTGTTTATAAATCAACCTTTTCTTTAAACAAAGATTTATAATAAAATGTACTCGGGATACCCATGTTACTTTTTTTTTAGATACAGTCAAACCTTGTAGTGGCAATATTACTAATCTTTTCACAATGGATTTTATATGTTTTTATATGTAAAGCAAAAATTTTTAAAATCCATTATGAAAAGATAGTCCGCTGTTATATTTAAAAAGGAATAGTATCTTTTCAACCATTTAAATTTTGATTGTTACTCGGAATCATACCATGCAGGAACATTTAATGCCAACCTTTCGGATCTATTCTTGCTCTTTTTCCATGATATTCTTACTTCCCTACCATAGTTATTATATTTGAACACCGATAAACAAAAGCAAGAAACAAAGTTAACCGAGTGAGACAAATTAAATTAAGTTTATCTGTTATACTTTGGATTGATTACTCCAATTATCTTTTATGGAGGAGATTGAATGAAAATAAAAACGCGCATTTGCTATTTATTTTTTGGTAAATGATTAAAAATATTTGATGATTGAAGATTTTTTAGACATTAATTAGGGTATTCTTCATTCAAGAACAATTGATACTACTGAACTTGCTGGAGAAGTTATCATTAACTATAATAAATGAATCCAAAAATGCAAAATAAAGTTGTGGCACCATCTTCTTTGTGATTTCTTCTTATATACATATATCACAGAAATACAGAAAATCTCCTAAATCATGTCCAACATTAATAATTATAATGACAGAGAGGAAATTACCTGTATAATATATTTGGAACCAAACAAGAATTCTAAATTTTATCAAAATATTGAAAGTTTTTATCAAGAAAGTGTTGCAAAATATGGACCAAATGAAGCAACTAAATATCATCCACATATATCAATGACTGGATTTTTTACATTAAAAAGCTTCATCCCTTCTTCGAGTCAATCCAAAGATAACAAATCTGCTATAACAATAAATCAACAACTTGATTCTATAATTAATTTCGTAACAAATTTTCTAGAAATTCATGAAATTAACAAGAATGCAAAGATGAATAATAATAATAACAATAATTACAAAAATTTGTCAACAAGAACAAATTTAGTTGAAATTCAAGAAATTATCAGACCAAATAATTTCTCAAAATCTTTAATAATCTCTTTAAATGCAAACAAAATTTTACATAACCTTATAAATGAATTAAGTAATAAAGATAATTTATTGGTGTCAAGTAAAATCAGACCAAAAAATATTGACCATATTTCTTTAATTTATTTTACAAACAACCAAAACAACAACAACAACAACAATGAAATAAATGATGAAATTATGATGACAGAAATTGAAAATCTTGCCAAAAAGTTGATTGATTTTCATGATATTGTTAAAGAAAAAGAACATTGGAATATTATTCTTTATAAAAGAGTTTTACATGCTAAAAATTTGGATGAAAAACATTTATTTAGGGAAATTAAAAAATGGGAAATCTAAACAGCATTCATTATCAGCTTTTAAATCAGCAATATGACCTGGTAACTTCTAAATCTTTGCATTTTTTCTACTAGTCTAAACATGTATTTTTGTGGTTTATTTATTCATTTGTTAATTTTTTTTGTTTCATTAATAAAACTTCTTTTCTCTCAATTATATTTATTTATTTCTATAAAATAAATAGACAACATATTGTCATAAAAGATGACAGAAAGTTTTTTTTTTCCTTTGGTTAGTTAATAAACAAATTCTTTATCCTAGATTATAAAATGTAAATATTGATATGGAATTAATTCACATAGAGCCTAAAAATTATAGTACCATCAGAAGTATTTTGAAGGTGAGAAAATATAGCTCCTTATGTTTTTAAAAAATAAATGAAACCAAACTGTCAAAGAATATTTAAATGAAGAAAGAATCACTTTTGAAGATGAAGGAAGAATCTTAGCCAATAAAAAGGTATTAACACAAAATCACAAAGAACCTAGAAAAAACCAAAAATTAGAAGAGGAATGATTCATTCAAGTTTGGCATTATCTATCTGGTTTCAGACAAGTGATATATTTTGAATCCATCTTTCACAAATGGACAAACATTGTCATAAAGGAAATCTTGATGCTTAAGGTCCAGAGGAATAGTAGGTTTCAAGAGGAGGAATGGTAAGTTTTTAATACCTTTAACAGCTTCAGAACCCCTTTTTTAGTTTTCAACAATTTGAATTCTTAACTCACTAATATCAAAACATTGAAAGATTTTTCCTAATGAGTTTATCAAAACTTGTAACCCTAGATCTTTTTACAAGATCCACAACATGATTGATACACATGGTCAACTGTTGTATTTTGATATGGGGCATGCTGCAACAAAACCAGACAAAGTGAACATTAGTATTACTGATAATTTCAGGGATCAAAATTTAGTTATCATCAATATGTTATATTTGTTTCTTAATATTAAGTAGTGATATATAGAATTGCCTAAAGCTCCACATGAGCCAGCTCAAGTTGGCTTGATAATAATAATTTTCAATTTAATGTTTCCATTCACTAATACCAATTTTCGAATAATATCCAAATTATAGATGTTAGTTGTGATTGTTTTTGAAAAAATCAATTTTGACAAACAATTTTGGACAATATTTTTTATAATAAAGGCCATTGAAAAACAATCTAGCATTTCGGCTACTGAGTTAATGGACTCAAATAATTTGGGGTATAATTTTGGCAATTAATAAAATAAACTTCGGCTACCATGAGAAACTACTTAGGCATTTCTGATTCATTTAGTAATACTAAGAGCAATGTATAAAATTGAGCAGGAGCAATATTGCTTTGTTTGGGAGTTTTAAACTTTTAAAAATCATGTGATTTTTATTAAAGTTTCTGGGTGAAATTAAGGCAATATGTAGATGAAACTAATTTGAGCTTTTAATCTCTTAGGGCGAAATTACCCAGAATGAGCGAAATTCTGATTGGTCAGAACTTGATATCATGTGTCATATTAAAAATCTGATCAAACAATACTTAATAGCAATAGTAACAAGCAATAGTAGAATTCTAAATGAACCTGAATTTTTTATTATTAAGAAAATTATCAAAGAAAATAATTATAAATAAAATAATTGATTATCCCCACTAATGGTTCTTTCAATTATTCTATTTGTCTCATAATATGGTCAATTTTCACAAAAATAGAATCCTGTTTTAGATATTTATATATCTGATAAAACCAATAGATCTAAAACCTCAAAAAACCCTACATACTACTCTATGAATGGTATAATCACTAAAAACATTATCATCACTAAATGTGTCTCAAATCAATAATAAGTCTTGTAAACATATTAATTCTGTTTGAACCATTTTGCCAGAAAAATGAAGTTGGAAAAATTATAATTATTTTCATGATATAAGACATTTGTCCATAATCAACTAACACAAGATAAATAAGATAAATAAATACATACATAATGAATATCTTGCTAAAGGACAAAATCCTGTGAATAATGAATTCTTGTATTTTTATTACATTTATTTTATACTCTATTATGGAATTTCTTTGGTGTACTTTTTGCTTGGAGTATCAAAACAAGCTGGGAGATAAATTGTTGATGATGATGGATAATGCATGAATTGTTATCACATGATCTTTGAAGTTCCTCATCATCATTTGCATCATTGATTTCCTGTCAAAATAAATTTTGAATATCAACAAGCACATTATCATTTTGTCTCATATAATATACAAACTTTTGCTTTCCATGCAAGCATGATCACTGGAAGAGCTCTTGTACCAAATTCAGTGACAGTTGATAGAATAGTCAACATTTTAGAATGAGATATTTGACAAATATACCCTGGAGGCGAGTCTAATGTAAAGAAATTATTAAAATTAGTCAAGAAAATCAGTGGTGAAAATATTTATAATATATGTCAACAGCATACCCACATGTATAAAACTAATAGTCATGAGATTCCTGACAATTTTCTCTCTTAAATTAATGTGAATGCACAAGTCATCAAATTGATCCTTCATCCTTTTAATCCTCTCTCATGTAAAATTTTCATTCCATTATCACCTTCAAATAAGCTTGCCTGCTTCCCCATGGCCAAATTCCATAGAGTCATGATGTATTATCAAATCCCCCCTTCTGCCCATTATCTTCCTTTGTGTGGAGTTGACTGAAGCAACTGCACAATTTCGATTCTTCCATGAGCTTGATGCAAATTTCTCCCCTATTGCAAGGAAATCAATAATAGCCAAATTTATAAATAATAGAATAATGTAATACTCTGTCCTATCTTTCTACTTCTATACCCTCTATTTTTTCAAACACCCTATCTATAAATGACCATACATGTAACATCTGAGTGATCCTTCTTTAAACTGTTGATTTCATATTCTCAAAGCCTGTATAAAAAACAAGCATAATTAATGTTCAAGGTTGTCCCTTTGGATGAGAATGAGATTCTGCACCTACAGGTTTTCAACAGTATTTCTCTTCCAATCCCAATCAAAATCCTTCTCTTGATTGTAAGATAATTTCCATGGTTCTGAGCTGAAAATGAGTGCTTTAAGTTCAGGAATTGTGGACTATTCAAATGTGTTACAGGAGAAAGAAGTTGTCAATAGTTTGTAAACTATTGGGGTTGGTCACAATGGTTGATCATCAAACATAGTTCAGGTCAATATAGAAATTTATTATATGCGGATTTTTTA